GTGTGTGTGTGTGTGTGTGTGTGTGTGTGTGTGTGCTGAACAAATTACTTTAATTTCTAAGTTGTTTAAATATGTTGCATCCACTAACAAAAACAGTACAATGTTTAACAGAAGCAGATGTATGTTTTGTTCTTTTAATTTATTTCATTTCATTTATTCATATTTCGACAAAAAGATCCATAAAAAACAAAGTAAATCAGTTATTGAATGGAAAGGGTGCAGAAAGATGAAGTGAGAAACATTTCTATAAATTCTATATAATGTACCTTTTAATTTTGTTTGCTAAAAATTATCAACGGTTCATGAGTTGTTGAAAGAATTTACTGTTCAACACAACAGTTTTTACTGTACGTGAAAATAAATAAAAACAGATGAAAYGTGTCTGCAAAAGCAGGTGCACTGGATTTACTTAACCAAATTATGTTAACTGGTTGCACTAATGCACTTACTTCACATTTACTTTTAAAGAACATGTAAAATTGCTTTACATTTACTCAGTTCAGTTGTGAGCAACCAGTTGACATGATTTGGTTAAGTTAATCCAGAGCATTTATTTTGTGCTAAATGAAATCATGAAAAGTGTTCTTTGAAAATAACTTTTAGAAAACAATWTGACAATTTCCTTCTCCCAGCCAAACCCTTTTATTGGTAGTTAGAAAATTACTTTAAGTTTTGATATATTTTCTAACCATTTAAATGGTTTAATCTGATGTTATAAATAAATTTGTTAATCTTATCCAAACCTGATTTATTATATCCTGAAAATATTTGAAGCTGGGAGGCATAATTTGCAATGTTTTGAACACTTCATCCTGTACTGGTGTTTTATGAGTTTATTTGTGTCTCGTGTGAGTTACTGCTTGTTCAGATCAAAGTTCTATCAGGRAGACTTTTTAGAGTTAAACATTTTTAAGTTACAGATGGTTTGGGACTGATGTTTCAGCTGAAAACCACAGAATCCACTCAGGATGTCTTTAATTGTTGCAGCTAAGGTGGKTTTATTTTTGCATCATTTGTTCAAAATAAAGCAAATTTAACATGTTTGGAGTTTATTATTATATGGAAAAACTGCATTTTCTGATAAATATCTGTATGAATGCGGAGTGTTAAATGGAAATGTGTTGTAGAAGCTCAGCAAAAAGTATGTAGGTGTAGTGAGATTGCCAACATGTAAAAGAAAAAAAGTAATCCAATCGTTGCTTCAAAAACCACACAATTTCACAAGAAATACTTTATTACCATGAAAAATAGGCAAAAGCTCTCAATAAACTATGATCATTTCCGTCCAACATATTTTTGTATTTACAATATTTTCTTTTATTTTTT